TTTCTTTTATAATAGTTGGATGCTGTTTCTGGATCCATTCTGCCAGTTTGTTCCTTCAATTGGTGAATTGAGGCCATTTATATTAATGGTTATAACTGATGTATATTTGTTTATTTTTGACATCTTTCTTTCTGCTGTTGATTCTTTTCCTTTCCGCTCTATTTAATTGTTTGCCTTGCATGATGATTTTTTTTCTATGTCTGTCTAGAATGTCTTTCAGTATTCTTTGCTGGGTTTGTTTGGTGGTCATGGCGTTCTTCAGTTCTTCTTTGTCATAGAAGTATCTTATTTCTCCATCAATTTTGAAGGACAGTTTTTCAGGTTACATCAGTGTGGGTTGGAAGTCATTTTCCTTTATTTTTTTATTTTATTTTATTTTTTAAATTTTATTTAAGGAGAAAAAGAAAAAACAGAAAAAGGGTACAAGTTATACAGAATTTCAGAAAAAATAAACAGTAGGAAATCACTAGTTAATAAATTACATTTTGTCATCTTAGAAATAGTTGTTCAAGTTACAAAATTAAAGCATATAAAGTGGAAATTCAAACAGTGAGACTGCAAACAGTTCTGTTCAATGATCCAGCAAAACTCAGTAATATGGTTATTTATCTTATACACTTAAATATACATGCAGTTTCATCCTTTAGAGCACTTTCTTTTCCTCTGTTTTGTACAATGACAATGACACATTTTGGGTTTTATTACTCCCACAGTTATTATTGCATTTTTTGAAGAGAATAAAACCAAATGTGACATAACAAAACAGAGTCAGTCTAATCAAAAGGATGGACGTAATACATACTGTAAAAACAAAATATAAGATGATTAACAATGGTTACCATAATGCCTCTTGCTATTTTAAAAAGAATTGCCTATATCATCAGTTATAATAAAATTGAACAAAATAGTAAAGAACAAAACCAATGAAACCAAACATTGGAGACATTGTAGGACTTCAAAAGAAGATAATAGTCAAACCAGAATGGGTGTCATAATGAATCTTATTGTCTTCACAGTTGTTGCCTACACTCTTGAACTTTATACTATCAAGCAAAACAGAATAGAATAAAATCAGTCCAAACAAGATGGTGAGAGCAATACAGGATTTCAAATCAAGATAATAGGAAATCAAAGTGAGATACTATAATATATCCTGCTATTTTATTTATTTTTCCCTTAATTAAAAACATAAAAATAAAAAAGTAAATAATAAAAAAAGGAGATTGAGATAAAAGAGGACATAACAACAAAACATCACAGGTCAAAACATAACCATTTAAGCAAAATAGTGTTTCACCACCAGATATCCTGGCATAAAAGTAGTTACCATAGTGTCTCTTTCCTTGAAATCTTTGAGTACAACTTCGTATACTGTAGCATCAAACATATCAAGACAATGTAAAACCATTCAAGAGAATGACAGTATTACAGGGTAGTTAGAACCAACTAACAGAAAATGAACAATGGTTTCTGTATAATCTCCTTGTCTATAAAAGTTTTTGTTTATATTATCACATATAATAAAATCCAATAAGATACAACATGTTAAGACCAATGGAGACAGAAGAACAAAAGCCTGATGGGACTTCAAACAAGATGATATTAAATCAGCACTACCTATTTTGATGTCTTGTTTTCTCCAAAATAGCTGTTCCTACCATCCAACCTTCTCTGCCTCATTTCTGTTGAGCTCTTTTTCTGTCATTAGTTGTCAGTTTGTCTTCTTCATTTTGCTTTCTGCTCCATTCATTGTGGTCTCTCTGCCACTATTTCTGGAATCCTGGTATTTTTCTTTTTTAGAATGTCCTGCAGTATTCTCTGTAGAGTTGAATTGGTGGTTGCAAATTCCCCTTGTTCCTCTTTATCCTGGAAGCACCTTGTTTTTCCATCAATTTCTAGGAACAGTTGTGCAGGATATATCAATGTTGGCTGGAGGTTATTATCTTTCAAAGCTTTAATTCCCCCCCCCACGCTCTTCATGATTTGATAGTTTGTATTGAGAAGTCTTCTGTAATTTTGATGGGTGTTCCCTTATAAGTGATCTTTTTCTTGTCTCTGACGTCTTTTAATATTCTGTTTTTATATTGGATTTCTAGAATTTTGATCATTACATTCCTGAGTGTAGTTCTGTTTGGGTTGTAGGTGGCTAGGGTCCTGTATACATCATACATCTGAGTATCTTTACCTTTTGCTAAATTAGGGAAATTCTCCTGGATTATTTCTGTGAATAGCCTTTGTAGTTCATTTATTTTTGTCCCTACTTCTTCCTTTGTGTTCTTAATTCTTAAGTTATAGATCCTCTTATGATCTAGCCTTTGTATTGTTGCTGTTTGTTTTCTTGTTATTTTAAAGAAGTTTTTCATTTCATGCTCCCACATTACAAATCTGTTCGCCAGTTCAGATAATCTATCCTTAGTTTCTTTCAAGCTGTTATGCCAGCTTTCAATAGAGTTTTTAGTTTCCTGGTAATCTCTTTGAACCTGCTTCATGTATTCTATGTTTTCTCCATCAAATAATTCTCCCCCCCCTTTTTTTTGGTTCTTCCATTCCACCATCTGTTTTTTCTTGGGAGATGCTCAGCATTGCTCTAACTATTCTACTTATATCTTGCTTTACTTCGTTAAATACTTTACTTTTGAACTCATGTATGAGGCTCTGGAGATACCTTTTTATATCTGTTGGTGCTGTGTCTGATATTGCATGTTTTGTGTCCTCATTCTCCTTTGCATTTACCTTTCCTGGTTCAGTGTTCTCAGGATTGGGGACCGAGGACCCTTTCTTGTTGCCTTGTCTTCTCATGTTTTTTGTTCCCTCCATACAGGCATATATAAGAGGCCCAGTTTCTTTCTTTGTGGGTTACAGTTTGTTTGAATCAGTCAACTAGGTGTTCCTGCCCACTGCAGTGTATGAGGGAGACATGGATCTGGGCAGCCTCTGCTGGGACCGCCCCTCCAGCTTAACTTGCTGAAGGCTTTCCTGCTATGGTGCCCCACCAGGTGCTGCGATCTGGTTTGGGCTAGCCTACTGGGTCTTAGTCCAAGGCTTCACCCGGGTCAAGTGCTCCCCACCAATCCCGGTTGAGAGTGGAATATGTGACTAAAGTCACTGCAGTGTCCTGTTCTGGCTAGTCTGCCTGGTCCCAGAATGTCTTCTGTTGGAGCCTCCTAGTCTATGGAAGGATCCCCATTCTTCTCACTCACTGCAGGTCAATGCAAGGCTCCCCACCAGTTCTGCTGTCAATTTGGTTCACTGATTCCTGCTCTCAGAGTGTTCGCATCTCTATCTTGCTGTGCAGATTCAAACACAGCAGGGGTGGCAGAAAATTCAAATCATGATTTCTAGAGGCACAGGTTCCAACTCGGTGCTGAGATTTTATCTGTTCCAGTGATAGCATCAGGACTGCGTTTCTAGTTGGTTTCTCTCAGCTTAGATTGTCCTGGGTCGGCAGGATATATTTCCCCTTGCTTAGGACTCCTCATACTGCACCATTCCTGGATTTTAAGCTGCTATCTCAGTGAGCCTCTGTAGCTGCTGTTGTCTATGCGCCATGTTCTCCCCACATCATCCTCATAATGCTGAGAAACCTTGAGTACATCTTCATTGAGTGAAGGGGGTGTGGTCAGCCTCAATCTCTGTTTTCTTCCATGACTGTATCTCCTAGACTTCTTGTGTGTGGTGTGGAGGTCTGAGATTGCCTTTTATTCCTTTATCTTGACATTCTTTTTGAGTCCTCACAAAATGCCAGTTATGGGATCCCAGTCATTTCTCATGTAGGCTGCCCCTCCGCAATGTAAGTATCTGGGTTTCTGTGACTCCTGGTTCCCAATGAGTGGCAGCAGTGGGAGTTTGGGCAGTTTAATTGCTGTGGTGGGAATTTGGGTGGCTTGGTGAGTTGCGGCTGCAGAAGTTGGGGCACTGCAGTGAGAGCACCCTGGCTGCTAATCTTAGCTGCTCTAATGTAGCCCCAGGATTGTATGTTTGGCTGGTTCTTTTCCTTTTTGTTTCTTCCTGGGTTGAAATGATCCATCTACCTCTGTTCAGACCTCCCTACGATGTTTTATTCCGGCCTCTGGGTTGTCTGTCTCAGGGAGCCTCTGTATTGTGCTGCTTATCTATCTGCCATCTTTAGCTCCTCCACACTTTTATTTCTATACATTTTGTTTGGTTCATTTCTCAAATCTGCTTCGACCATGATATAGTATTTTGTCTTCATTAACCTTTGTAATCCCTTTTTTTACAACTATATTTACTGAAATTATTTGGTTTTGTGGTTCTAGTACTTGCAATTTTTGGGAGTGTTTTTCTACTATCATTTGCTTCAGGTGGTTATTGCACATGTGACTTTATTCCTTTGTATATTTAGTGATATGACAATGTACTGTTGTTTTTCTTAGTAACTTTCTGCTCTTTCCTTGAGGTGAGAGATTTCTCCAAAGAATATCTATGTTTGCTTGTCAGGTGTCTGGGGACACCAAGAGCCTGTGATCATTTGAAATATATTTTTTGATTTGAGGTCTTTTGGGTCCCTGGGACGGTGTTGATTTGGACCATAAACTCTCGGGAGGGATGGTTTGTGACTGAGGTTTCTCTGGGATGATTCTTTGTTCATTTTCCCTATCCCAGAGTTTAAAACAGAGAAATGTACTTTCTAAGGACTTGCTGCTCACCCTTATACTGATAGTATGTCCATTTAATGAAGGAAGTATCCTTGACTTGATTCTGTAGTTTAAATGAGGTTCAAGATCATAGTGATTTGTAAATTCACTCAAAGCACAAGCCAGGAATCAGTGCTCTATTAACCCTCTGGATTTTGCCTTCCTTAGTTTTCCCCCCCGAGATTAAACTATGTATATACTTATTTTACTGTGTTCTTAACTAACCGACACATTTAAAAACATTAAAAAGAGATTTTAGTTGTTCTTACTAGAAAAATTGGTCAAGGTTATCAGTCATCATTTTGATCTGAGACTCATTTCCTGACTTGACTTTTATTGTTTTAGGACTCTGGGGCCTGGTCAACAATGCAGGCATTTCCCCCCGAATAACATTAAGTGAGTGGCAGAAGACTGAAGACTTTGTGAATATCTTCAAGGTGAACCTCATTGGTATGACAGAGGTGACCCTGAACATGCTTCCCTTGGTGAGGAAAGCGCGGGGGAGAATCGTCAATGTCGCCAGCGTTATGGGAAGAGTTGCTATGAGTCCTGCATCCTACAGCTGCTCCAAGTATGGCGTTGAAGCATTTTCAGATGTACTGAGGTAAGTAATGCTCTAAAGGTGAAACATTTCACTTATTTTAGGGATGGTGCTATGTACTTCCACCTACCTTACCTTATTTTATAATTCCCTTAATCTTAGCTTGTAGATACAATTACTAGTCAATTTTATATAGGAACCTGTGACTAAACTTTAAATATCTTCTCAAAGGCACCTACCACAGTCAAGACTCGACAGAACCATGGTCTCACCCAAGATCTTTGTAGTGCCCCCACATAACATTGACATTCTCTGGATTTGTCTTTGATAAAATATCACTTCTAATGAAAAGATAATTCTCTTTTTTACCAAGTGAAACTTTATCCTTGCCTGTTCCTAGTGGTTCTATTTTTCACTGGTTCCTCATCTGCTTCCAAGTTTTCCTTCTCTTTTTGTGTTTTAGTTTGAATTTGATGCACCCTTTCATAGCTGTGCTGCTACTTCCTGGGTTTTCTTCATGTACTGTTTTAGCTTCACATTACTCTCAGCTGCTTCCTTCTTTTTGTAGTTCCCTGGTGTTTTCATTTCTAAGAAAAAATTCTATTGGCAGGATCGTTTCTCTATGTGTGCCAGCTAGTAATACATTATATGCAATTATATGTCAGGCACTGTTTTGTGTTATATGAATCATTTAATTTTCTTTTGAAGATTTTTCATTTTATTAGCACATTTTTGTAGTATGATTATGTTCATTGTGAGGGGTTAGTGTGTATACATAAATCATTTTAATTCTTTTCACATTTCTGCCTTTCCACTCCTTCCCACCTCCCTCCATCTCTTGATCCTATTCCTATTTGCAAAAAATCTATTTCCCTGTTTATTATTGTCTATCTTTTGTTTTTCTCTTTTTCCTTTGGATTTCTCCTATAAGAGAAACCATGTGATATTTAGATTATGTGTCTGATTTCTTCACTTTTCATCATGGCTGTAATATGCATTAATTTTATTATATTTACCTTAAATTTATCTTTATTTTATCAGGGCATTACTCTATTGTTTATAAATACCATATTTCTTTATTTATTCATCTATTGATGGATATATAGGCTTCTTCCAAGATTTAACTATTATGTTTTGTACTGCTATAAACATAGGTATGCTACTATCACGTTGATATGATGTCTTTAACTCTTTCAGGAAGATATCTAGAGGGATAGAACAAAGTGGAATGTGATTTGTATTTTTAGGTTTTTTTTTGGTGTGGAAACTCCACAGATTTCTGTAGTGGTTATAGTAATTTAAATAGCCCTAAATAGAAGGGCTCTTCTCACCTACCACCCCCAGTTTTTGTTATTTTCTAATTTTTTATTTTTATTAGTACATGTGTGCAGTACATAGTGTTACATGCATTGTGAGGAGTTAGGACATGTACTAATTCCCCACAATGCATGTAAATAACACATCTTCATGTACATAACACATCTTCATTAATTTTTCATCTCCTTTTCCCCCTCTCTCTTCATTTTGGTATTGTTTGATTTCTTGATGACAGCCATTCTTTCTGCAGTAAGACAGTATAGAATCTTAGTTCTGTTTTCATTTGCATTTCTCTAATGGATAGGGAGGTGTTTAACAGTTTTTTCATGTGTTTATTGATGATTTGTACTTATTCTTCTGAGAACTATGTTTTCATTTTAGCTGCTAGTTTTTGGTTGGGTCATTCATTTTGGGGGATCTAATTCTTTTTAATTCTTTATGTAGGTAGATATTAGTCCTTGTTCCAAGGAGTAGATGGCAATTTTTTTCCCATTCTGTGGGTTGTCCCTTTACTGTGTTGGTTATTTTGTATGTTGGTTCCCTTTCATTATTTTTATGAATCATGTATTTATGTATTAGTGCATAATTGTAATGCATAATGATTACATTTATCTTGGGGGAGTTGCACAGATACATACCACAAATTAATCATTTTTTGTGCCTTCTTCTCCTATCCTTCTCTGTTTCTTCCAACTCTTGATCCCCTCCTCATTTGAAGAAACTCTATTTAAGTTTTTTCTTTTATTCACTTGTTTAATCATTTTCTCCTTTCTTTTCTCACTTCTCTATATCTGAGGTGCTGTTTCTTTCTTCCTCCACCTTTTTTTCTCTTTTGGAGAGAGGATCTTGCTATGCAGTTTAAGCTGAACTTGAGCTCACTTTGTAGCCTGGGATGGACTTGAACTCCCAACGATCTGCCTGTGTCAGCTTCCTGAGTGCTGGGATTGCAGGTGTGTGCCATCACACCTGACTGGTAGTTGAGGTTCTTTTCAGAAAGTACTTGCCTATGTGAAAGTTTTATCTATTTTATCTTCCAGTTGATTGCTTATGTTTTAACATTTAGATTTTTGACATATTTTGATTTTAGTTTAGTATACAGTGAGAGACTTGGTCTAGATTCAGTTTTCTGCATGTGTGTATCCAGTTTCCCAGCACCATTTATTAACCAGGTTATCTATCCTGTAGCACATGGTTTTCGAGCCTTTGTCAAAGTTCAGATGCCTGAATGTGCTGAGGGCTATTTCTGCTGAATGTACGTCGGGTCATGTTTTTTTTTTTTTTTTTTTTTTTTTTTTTTTTTTTTTTTTTTTAATGCCAATATCATTCTCCTTGTCATTGTGGCTTAAGTGTAATTTGAAGTCCAGGATTGTGATAGCCTTGCTTTGTACTGTTAAATTTCATTTTTTTTTAAATTTTGAAAGTGGTAAAATACAACAGAACAAGACAGAATAAAGCTAATTAAGATTGTACAGTGAAATTGGTGCAGAACTTCACAGCAGGTTATCGGGATAACAGTAATAGGTATCACAGTATATTTCATTATCTTTATAATAGTTGTTCTTTCAATCACATATATCAAAATAAAATGAAATACAGAACATTATAGAATTTATCAAAACAGAATATTGAATAGAGCGGTACCATTAATCAGAATAGAGCAAAAAGCAATGAAAGTATTTGCCTTCAAAGAGATGGTAGAAGGAAATCCCCCTTATTTTCTATGGTCAACCTCCCAGGAGATGCTCAGATTTCTGGCTCCTGTTTGCTAACAGGGGGGACAGGAAAAGGGGGGAGGGGAAGTGGATATTTGACTCTAGGTCGTGCACCAGTAGGTTCACTATTACTTAGCAGGGGGAGGCAGGCTGGTTGGTTGGTTTCCCAGCTGCATAAGTTCCAAGATGGTGTGGATCTCAGAAGACACTGGTTCTCCCCCTGGAGGGGCCATGTCTGCCACACTGCAGCCACTTACCATGGAGGGGAGGTGCTTGCTTGCTTTCCCAGCACCCTAAATTCCAACATGGCACAGATCTCAGGAACTGCTGGTCCCTTGCTTTGTTCTTATTGTTCGGGTTTGCTTTTGTATGCTGGGTCTCTTCTGGTTCCATATGAAATTTTGGATTGTTTTCTCTATTTCTGTGCAGAATATAGTTAGTATTTTGATTCAAAATACATTAGATCTATATATCAGTTTGAGTAATATGGCCATTTAAAAAAATTTATTTAAAGAGAAAAAGAAAAAAAAAAAACAGAAAAGTGTACAAGTTATACAGAATTTCAGAAAAAATAAACAGTAGGAAATCACTAGTTAATAAATTACATATTGTCATCTTAGAAATAGATGTTCAAGTTACAAAATTAAAGCATACAAAGTGGACATCAAACAGTGAGACTGCAAACAGTTCTGTTCAGTGATCCAACAAAACTCAGTAATGTGGTTATCTATCTTGTACACTTAAATATACATGCAGTTTTATCCTTTAGAGCACTGTCTTTTCCTCTATTTTTTACAATGCCAATGACACATTTTGGGTTTTATTACTCCCACAGTTCTTATTACATTTTTTGAAGAGAATAAAACCAAATGTGACATAACAAAACAGAGTCAGTCAAATCAAAAGGATGGACATAATACATAATGTAAAAACAGAATACAAGGTGATCAAGAATGGCTACCATAATGCCTCTTGCTATCTTAAAAAGAATTGCCTGTATCATCAGTTATAATAAAATTGAACAAAACAATAAACAACAAAACCAATAAAACCAAAACATTGGAGACATTACAGGACCTCAAAAGAAGATAATAGTCAAACCAGAATGGGTGTCATAGGGAATCTTATTGTCTTCACAGTTGTCGCCTATACTCTCAAACTTGGTACTATCAAGCAAAACAGAATAGAGGAAAGTCAGTCAAAACAATATGGTGAGAGCCATACAGGGTTTCAAATCAAGTTAATAGGAAATCAAAGTGGGTTACTATAATATATCCTGCTATTTTAATTTACTTTTTCCTTAATTAAAAAGATAAAAATAAAAAAGTAAATAATAAAAAAAGAGGTTGAGATAAAACAGCACAGGTCAGAACATAACCATTTGGACTTCCAGGAGAACATGGCAGACAAATAACAGCAGCCATAGAGGCTCTCTGAGATTACCAGTTTAGAATCCAGGAGCAGTGCCGTGTGAGGAGTCCTACGTGAGGGGAGATGTACCCTGCCAACCCAGGAACGAACTGAGCTGAGAGAAACCAAATGGAAATGCAATCCTGATGCTATAACAGGAACAGATAAAATCTCAGTGCGGAAGCTGGATCCCACGCCAGTGGAAGCCATGATTTGAATTTCCTGCTGCCGATACTGTGTCCCAATCTGCACAGCAGGGAGAGAGATGCGTGAAAGCTCTGAGAGCTGGAATCGGCGAACCAAACAGCATGGAGAGCAGCACTGGCAAGGACCCCTGCATCAACCTGCGGTGAGTGAGAGAAATGGGGACCCTTTTATAGACTAGGAGGCTCCAACAGAGGACATTCTGGAAACAAGCAGACTAGCCGGAACAGGGCCCTGCAGTGACTTTAGTCGCATATTCCCCTGTCAAGCGGGAGTGGTGCGGAGCACTTGGCCTGGTGACATGTGGACTAAGATCCAGTAGGCTAGCCCAAATCAGGTCACTGCGCCTGGTGGAGCAACAGTGAAGCATTCAGTAGGTTGACCTGGAGGGGCGAGCCCAGCAGAGGCTGCCCATGTCTG